ACGGAGTCAAATGCCGCCTTCAGGTCGAGAAATACAGCTATTGTCGGGCGTCTGTAAGCATGCCTATGTTCCAGGACCTGGCGCAGTGTGAATATTTGGTCGATACATCCACGGCCAGGTCTAAAGCCTGCCTGGTTTTCTCGGGCTTGCTGTTCCCGAGCTCCACTCAGGCGTCGGAGAATTATAGAACTTAGGATCTTAGACACTATGTTTGTCAGGCTGATTCCTCTGTGGTTATCACAAGAGGACTTCTCGCCTTTCTTGAAGACTGGGATGATCAGTGACTTAGACCAGTCGGAGGGGATCGTATTTGATTCCCATATACTGGCTAACACTTCCGTTAGCCTGACTAAGAGAACTCTACCACCATTCTTGTATACCTCAGCAGGTAGTCCGTCTGGTCCTGCTGCCCTTCCCCGTTTCAGGCTACCTACCGCTTTCTCAACTTCTTCTAGTGTTGGGGGACCTGTCTCTATGTCCCATTCAGGGTCCGACTGGATAGCGGGCAGCGCAATGGTGGCTGGAGGCCAGTTAAACTGTTCCTCAAAGTGTTCTGCCCATCGTCCCAGTCGCCTTCCCTGCGAGTGAATCGCCGATCCGTCCTTCTCCGCTATAACCTCACTAACTGTTGTTGACCATTTCCCCCCAGTCTCCTTAATAAGTCTAAATAACTGTCTACTGTTACCGATCGCCGCTGCCTTTTCCATCTCTTTAGCCTTTGCTGCCCACCACTGTTCACGATCGTTGCGCAGACTTTTCGTCAGTTTATTTTTAAGTTGCGCTCGCTCTTCATTGTACTCAGAGCCTGCAGGGATGCATTCACGTGCATCCATTAGTTTGGAAGAAGCTGCTGATATCCACTGGCTCTTTTTAGCCATTATCTTGGAGTCGGCTACAGTCTCCAGTGCTGCTTTTACAGTAGACTGAAGATGGCACCAAGCTTCTTCTGGATGAGTGACAGTCTTTTGTTCCGATAACTGCCTAGCCAACTTCTCACTGAACACGGCTTTGGTGTTTTCGTTGTCCAGCAGAACTCGTAGTGGTTTTGTTGCCAAATTTTTTCTACGTCCATTGAGACGCAGGCATATACGTGCTCGGACCAACGCATGATCGCTGTCCAAACACGTACTCCAGAAGGAGCGGCAGTCTTCCACCGATCCTCTCCAGCGATGACTAATAGCAATGTGGTCTATCTGTGTCCATCGCTGAGTCGAGCTCGGTGGACGCCAGGTCAGACAGTGCCTTTCTTTATGTCTGAAATTTGTGCTGGCTAAAAATAGGCGGTTATCTGAGCATAGTTGTAATAGGCGATCACCGTTATCTGTACGTTCAGCTGGGATTCCGAAAGTGCCACCTAAGTGCCTTTCTGCCTCACTCAGTCTACCCACCTGTGCGTTGAGGTCACCTGCAACAACCACTACGTCCGAACGTTTGGCTTTCGAGAGGAGGTTAGACAGTTTATGGTAGAACTCGTCCTTCACTTCATCCGAACTACAGTCAGTGGGTGCGTAAGCAGAGATTACAAAGAGACAACGGCGAGTCTCACTATTCCTTTTAGTTCTCACTGTGCCGTTCAGCCTCATAGCGCAGAGGCGACTATCAACTGGGATCCAGTCTAGTAGTGAGTTTTCTGCCCTGGTGCTTAATGCTATACCTACACCTGCAAGACCACGAGAGCTAGCTATCGAATCTCCAGAAACTCGAAGGGTGAATTTTGCAGATTCACCAGATTGGTCAGGAGAGGTCAGGTGAATAACCACACTTGGGTCCTGTATGCGTGTCTCACAAACACAGCACACATCCATGCCTCGAGTTGCTAGAGTCTTTGCCAACGAAGCCTGTTGGCCAATTTGACGGAGGGTGCGGACATTGAAGGCTCCAATATGTAATTTGGAGCGTGGTTTAAGGAGACCAGGGACGCTGTTCTGTGGACTCAGATCGTTGTCGAAGGCTGCAGAGGTAGGAGAAATTGAAGATGATGCAGCATCATTAATTAAGAGACGTGAAGGAAGATTAGAAGGTAATGATGGAGGAGGAGGATAGCAGTCAGAAGAAACTTGGGTGCTGACAGAGTTGTGAGGGCGGTTGACACTTCCCGGCTGCCCACACCGTGGAAGGCTATTTCTTCTTAAGGTACCTGAAAGAGATTTGTGTGACCGCAGAGCCCATCGGACATCTGCTTGAGGCCTGTCACACCCAGCCTTTTGAGTATGATTATTTTGAATTTTTGTATTTTTGGGGCCGGATGAGCGAAAGGAAACGACAAGTGAACCAACACCGCCGGCCCGGCAGACCGTGGGGCGTGGTGGAGTGTGTTATTTTTGGGGCCGACCTTTTCTAACCCCCCCTTCCACTGAGAAGGCAGCATCAGCTTGGCACTGCTGGTCATCCAAGGGAAACACCTTACTGCTGTCACACCCCATCCAGCTAGCAGCAGTACGACTTCGCCCTCAGACCCCCATCATAGTATAGCAATTTACACTATGACGGTTTCTGCAAAAATTGTCTAGCTTCCTACTGAAAGTTAGACTTTCAGATTTGGTTGTCTTAACAAACAAAAAGGCACTTAGGTGACATTCTTGGGATCCCAGCCTAAGGAACAGATGATGGCAACCGCCTACGGCGTCCACCGGCCCCACTTAAATAGTGTACACAAGCAGATCATGCCACTATCATTTACCGCTGGCGAGAGTTGGAAAAAGATTGCTGCTTGTTCTGGAACACGTTTAGTCACTGCCTCTGCATTTATTTGAGCAGGCGAATGTCTGCGTCTAAATAAAAGTAAAAAAACGGCGGCAAAATGACCGCTCCAAGCGCAGCGCAATGACATTACTAAGGTTATTTACGGCGAGAAACTGATTATACAATTCCCAAAACAAATCTCATCAGCTTCTATATTGATGGATGCTTGTGAAGGTATTTCTACAACCTATGAAAACAATAAAGAGCAGAAGCAACTGATATGTAAATTGACAAGAGGTCTACATGGTGGCTGTAAGTGGTGGTGATGAGAAGGGATGCAGCCAGATGTAACAGTAAACAGTTTTCCAGACTTACTGAGGAAACCGGGACGAAAATGTCAGCGGTTAGTGAGACGATTAAAGAGAAAAACAGGGTCAGTGGTCCCCTCTCAGGAAAAACGACTAGAATGGTGGGCAAAACATTCGGAGGAACAGATCAGCTGGCCTTCAGCTAATATTCCATTGCCTGATGTCCAGTAGCATCCTGAGTGGGACATCGAGATAGGACCCGTAACACTTACAGAAGTCAAAAAGCTGCAGGTAACCTAAAACGAGGAAAGACGACATGGACAGACAGGCTGGTACTAAGGGTATTTAAGGACGATAGTCAAAGATTACTGGTTGGATTAACTTAAGTGTTAGTTAGTGTGTGAGAGTCAGATACAATTCCCTCTGACTGGTCTCACTTGCTGATTTTCCCAGTCTTCAAGAAAGGTGAGAAGTCCTATTTGTAATAACCACGAGGGAATCAGTCTGGCAAACATAGTGCCTAAGGTCCTAGGTCCTAGAATCCCAGACATCTAAGTGAAGCTGGGGAACAGTAAAACTGAGAAAATCAGGCAGGTTTCACAACTCGTTATGAGTGTATCAACAAGATATTCAATCTGCACACAGGGACTTACCAGTCTTTCAGACTCGCCGTTCTTCTTGACCCTAGGTTGGCATTTGACTCTGCCGACCGAAAGGTCTTATGGCGGTTTGTCCCATTGTAGGGAGTCCCAAGTAAGTACATCACCTTGTTGAAGTCTCCATGCCCGAGCACCCGTCTGTCTGTCTGTCAGATTATAGTAAGTTGACCGGTACCCTTTAAGGATGTCCACTTTTCGCTACTTAATTTTGTCATAGATGTACCGTTGGTCTCTCTCATCTGACTTTACAGGAATTTACTTGGGCACAGCAAACTTAGTAAGCCTAGAGTACGCAGATGATATAGTCGAAGATCAGGACATGGTGAGGAGTCTTCTGGACATATTGACTGGCAAATTAAAAATGTTCGAGATGCATCTGTCATCAGATAAATGCAAATTCTTTCTCCACGACTGATCTTCGTTGGTAATTTTTATAACAAAAGAGAGTGAGATGATTGAGCACGCTGACCATTTCACTTACTAGCTTGAATCAGCTGTGGTAGCTCAATGGGCGACGAAATCTACACGGTAACAAAAAGCTCACTTGGCTTTCGCTAGCTTGCGTCATCTGCAGGGCCATCACAATATCCGGTTGTCTATTAAGTATCGAATGTACCGCTCTACAGTTTGTTCAGTTCTACTGTATGTCTGTGAAACATGGCCATTAAAGGTAGAAGACATGAGCAGGCTTCAGGTGCTTAACCACCACAACCTTCGTAGCATAGGCCATGTTTCGGGGTGTCACCATGTGAGTAACGCAGATGTCAGGTGTCGAGTCCTAGTAAGTAGAGGATAGTCAGCCGATGAGTTTGTTAACGTTAATCATCTGAGGTGGCTGGGACATCGATTACGCATGCCTAGCCACTGTCTGTTGCTTCGCACAATGTTAATTGAAGTCGGTTTATGGTGGAGAAAGATTAGATGGAAGCATGGTATCTACTCATGAAGTAATCGATTATTGGTCTGAGTCTTATAATGAAATGTACTTTCCGGTTGAGGTGTGCATAACAAATTGAACTGGTGATTGGAGAGTAGGTAATGTCTCTGTGACAGATATATCCACCCATTATCTTAATTCTAACCGTCATACTAAATTTGATTATTTTCTCATTCCTTCTTGTTATCTCTTCGCAGGGTTTTACCGCTTTTGCCACTTTCTTTATTCCTCTTTTTTTCATCTCAGTGCATTCTCCCTTGATTTGCTGATATACGGTTTGGCAGCTTGTACCGTTGTAAATTTTTGATTCCCTTGAGACTGTTTTTGATCTCCTAGCTATTTTCGTAGTAACGTCATGTAAATTTATAAGCATAGTAGGGGGACCGATTAACTTAGAGACTTCGTTAATTACAGGTAGTTCGTGGCCGCCATCCGGACCTTCGGGGTCTTCGATTGGTCAGACGTATGGCCCTATACCTCTTGATGAGCTCCGTGCAGTTTCAGCCTTCAAGAGGCACCAATTAAACCAGCTGGCTCAAAAATCATGTGAGTCGTCAAACTCGGTAAGTCTGCATATTCCTCCTGTTTTCAAAATTTTCTCATGCCACATATAATATCTCTCACTCAGTGCAAACAACCGTGAGACATATCTTGTTTGCTGACAAAAGCATGTAGTACTAAAAGTTTATTGTCCAACCTATTAGTGGTTCAAACGACTATGAGGTTGTGAGTAGATAGAACGGTCACCATTGTAATTACCGGAACAATCAGTGGTTACTAGACAAAGCTGACATACAATACCAATTTTCAAAGTCAATCGACAGTTTGTCAATTGTGTTAGTGTTTGGCAAACATCTACACGATAGGTTTTCAGTATGGAGGAGATTGTGCGTCTCTATGCTGGTATCTTTCGTTGTCCAAAAGCAGCTTCAATTATAGTCAGAGTGAACTTGGATGTAGCAGGAGAAAATAGCTTTTACAATGTTTTTGAAGGACCTGTTATATTTATCATGACGACAGAAAATACTTGAAGTGAAGCAATTGAAGTATTGTTGTTCTTAACTGTCTGCGGTGGACACTCACATTACAAAGGAAGAGTCTTGCTTGTATTGTAATGCGTGAACTTGATTTTATGTTGAGCAGTTATTATTAAGTGAATAATACTTTGCTTTAACGTGATACTTGTTTTCATGAACTTTTCATGCTAAAGTGTACTAGTCTAATGATTATACTGAAGGTTCACGGTAGTTGTGCTGGCTAGAAACGTTGACTAAACTTTAGCACTCTTCACACAATTTAAACTGCCATGCTTCATTCACGCATTTGTGACGCACCAAAAAGTGTGAACCCGACACCTTTATTTTCTTCCCCATGTTTTCACGTTTTCCACCGACCATTTCTCCATGTCATCCGACCAGTCATAGAGTATGGAAGCAGCAAAGGTATGTTGGCCACCCAACATCATCATCATCATCATCATCATCATCATCATCATCATTATCAACATAGGACCAGGCATTACTGCGTAACGGTCCGAGTTGCCACACCTCATATCAGCACATCAAGTAAAAAGGTAGTGAGGTGAAGGATGAAGATAAGTGAATGCAGTCAAAAGAAATATAAAGTATGAGAAGAAAGGAAAGAGGAGTGACAAAATAGTGAGATTCGGTATAGCGTTGTTAAGATGAGGATAATGTGTGTATACATCTGCGCCACTGACTTCGGTTCTGAGCCATATCACCTAGGGTCTCCAACCACTGGTTCCTCTTGTCCCGTGGACCCCAACCACCTAGTCTGCATCGTCCTACATGGCTTAAACCAACAGTCAGAGACTTCATACATTGGTGCCATGTTTTAGTCTGGCCACCTCGGGCCTTTTTCCAGCCTGAACCCACCTCAGCCAACATTGTGTGACGAGGCAATCGGTGACTAGGCATACGTAGTACGTGTCCCAACCATCTCAGTCGATGAAGGTTCACAACCTCGTCGACTGACTTACCTCTTCTCCCTAAAACTCTACACCTAACTTCTGCATTACTCACATGGTGACACCACGGAATACGTCCTATACTACGAAGGCAACGGTGGTCAAATACCTGTAACCTTCTCATGTCTTCCACTTTCAATGGCCATGTTTCACAGCCATACAGTAGAACAGAGCGGACTGCTGTGCAGTACACGCGACCCTTAATAGACAAACGAATATCACGGCGGCGCCATAGGTGGCGCAAATTGGCAAAAGCCAATCGAGCCTTTTGTATCCGTGCAGAAATCTCATCGGCAACTAACCCACCGGGTTGATCCTACTTCCCAGGTAAGTGAAGTGGTCAACACACTCAACCACTTCACTCTCTATTGTTAACCGCGGTACCGCTGAAGACCAGTCCTGGAGCAAAAATTTGCATTTGGGTGGTGAAAATCGCATCCCAAACATTCTCAAATTCCCACTCAAAGTGTTCAGAAGACTCTGCATCTTGTCAGCGTCTTCACCTAACAGGACTATGTCATCTGCATATTCTAGATCTAAGGAAAATTCACCTGTGGTCCGGTCAACGTCTTTGTAATTAGGTGACGAGAGGGAAACCTCCATAAGAATATCTATGATAAAATTAAATAAGAATGGGGATAGTGGGCATCCTTGACGGACACCACTTGATGAGTATAGCTCCCTGGACAACTCACCATAGGCTCTAACATGCCCACAAGTGTTCGAGTAGAGAGCTTTCAATAAGGTGATGTACTTACTAGGCACGCCTTTCAGTGACAGACACTGCCATAAGACTTCTCGATCAACGGAGTCAAATGCCGCCTTCAGGTCGAGAAATACAGCTATTGTCGGGCGTCTGTAAGCATGCCTATGTTCCAGGACCTGGCGCAGTGTGAATATTTGGTCGATACATCCACGGCCAGGTCTAAAGCCTGCCTGGTTTTCTCGGGCTTGCTGTTCCCGAGCTCCACTCAGGCGTCGGAGAATTATAGAACTTAGGATCTTAGACACTATGTTTGTCAGGCTGATTCCTCTGTGGTTATCACAAGAGGACTTCTCGCCTTTCTTGAAGACTGGGATGATCAGTGACTTAGACCAGTCGGAGGGGATCGTATTTGATTCCCATATACTGGCTAACACTTCCGTTAGCCTGACTAAGAGAACTCTACCACCATTCTTGTATACCTCAGCAGGTAGTCCGTCTGGTCCTGCTGCCCTTCCTCGTTTCAGGCTACCTACCGCTTTCTCGACTTCTTCTAGTGTTGGGGGACCTGTCTCTATGTCCCATTCAGGGTCCGACTGGATAGCGGGCAGCGCAATGGTGGCTGGAGGCCAGTTAAACTGTTCCTCAAAGTGTTCTGCCCATCGTCCCAGTCGCCTTCCCTGCGAGTGAATCGCCGATCCGTCCTTCTCCGCTATAACCTCACTAACTGTTGTTGACCATTTCCCCCCAGTCTCCTTAATAAGTCTAAATAACTGTCTACTGTTACCGATCGCCGCTGCCTTTTCCATCTCTTTAGCCTTTGCTGCCCACCACTGTTCACGATCTGGCCACCCAACAGAATTCATAAATAATGTGCAAGCTACTGAAGCTTATGTTATAAGATGACCCCTCAATGAATATCTATTCCCACCAAGCCCAATTACGAGCCGACGGATTTGACAATTAAGTACATGATGTTTTCACAGTGATCTAAGATATAACGTCGTCAGATATCAACTAGGAGGTATCAGGTTTCGTGGGTGTCAAGCAGGACTGCACGACGTTTCAAAATTAGAGTGCGGTTACGGTGGTGTTAACCCGCATTTGTAAATGCCACTCTAGTCTTCGGCATTTATTGGGCCTTTCTCACATAATCAATCGATGCACTAGCTTCTCGATTAATTCTAATGGTAAATACAAAGTGAGGCTTCTACCAATTTTGTGAAACCACTTTTCAGCTGATAGCTGTTAACTTGACGCAGTAGGCAAGCTTGCGTATCGCGATAACCTAACAAGCTTCGCTGGCTAGATTAACCTCTTCCTGATATCGTGCTGTGCCAGCTGGATAGTGGTAAGACTAGTTGCATTCACCGTCATAGTGTTAATAACTAAGCTATGAGGGCAGTTCAAGGTCGAAGTTGTGCTGTTGGCTAGATGGGGTGAAACTGTAGTTAAGTATTTCTCATGGCTGAACATTCCTAGCGATGGCTACCCTAAATGTAACTCACTATTCCCCGCGAAATTCTGGTGCCAAAGACCCTTTGGGATCTTCGACCAAACTCGCAGGTCGATAATACCACCTATATTAGTCCCTTTTTTATTTCAAATAGACGGAGAATTGACATTCTACGGTGTAAGGAACCAGGATGTGTGAACTGCCTTCATACCTGTCAGTAATAAATTTACTTCTAAATTTCAGTATTCTATTTTTTCACTTCCTAGATTTCCACATTATTCTTACCTTACCTTTGCAACCCACGTTTACTATCCGAGATCCTAAAAAGTTTCTTTGTTCTCGATAAATCCTGCTGAACATTGTGTCTTAGAGCTTTCAGTAACCACACCCTCCGTCATCTCAGGCTATAAACGTATGCTATTTGTTCGGTACACACGGCGTAATTGCAATTATTCACTGAACTTCATCTGACCAGGGTCGCAAACCTGCGAAATTCGCCTTTGAAATTTATTGAAGTCCTTTGGTTAGTTTTTGTAGTCTCATAGATTTAAATATAGCAATAAACACTAGAGTAGAAGGCTCACTGCTCGACTGAACCGCAGTTGATATTCAATTGTGCACTGTTTGACTGAATAGTCCGATAAGGTCTAAAGGGGTAGTGCGATGCGTCTGCGAGTAACAGTATGCTGTAGTTTTATTCTACGTCTATGACACGGCCCCTGAAAGTAGAAACTATGAAATCACAACCTCTAAACCATATCTGTCTTCGTGATTGCGTGTGACAGGATGCATGTAAAAGTAAAATGAGTACTGCACAGGAAAAAGAGCTCAGTGAATTAGGTTGACTTTTGCTAACTGAAGTGACTTGGTTTACCTTTCAAGCCTTTTCCAAAAATTTTGCCTTCACTCTCTGATATGAACATTAGACCTCGTACAACTCTCCCAACCTCTCACCCTTCAACCACCCCTAAAGATCCAAACCAGCAAAATACCATTCCTAGTCTCCTAAAACCCTACTATCAATTTTACATTGGAGCTTTCAACGTTTGGACCATATGCCAAGTCGAACAATAGAAATCCCAAGTCGTAGATGCATACTTTTGCCCAGACCACGCATAGAAGACCAAAGTGTTGTTATTCCCACAACCTCACCTGGCCAGTGTGGTGAATCTGCAAAATTTGCTTTCCGAGTAACCGGCCATTCTGTGATTGCCATGTACCCGCTGATGTAAGTATAACATTAAGTTGTAGAAAAGGGATCGCACTTGTTGACTGAATATCAGTCAACAGCTATCTGTTTACTGTCCCATTAAATGGGTCTGTAAAAACTGAAAAGGATTGTGAAATTCGCTCATGCCTGTCGCAGTATTCTCCTGTGTGCCCACCAACTGCTGTTCAGGTAAACCAACGTATGATTTTTAAAAAAGCTGTTAATTTCGTCACATAAATCTGGACGTTCAGATATAGTCATGGTAGTGGGCGAGTTCAACGCTTAAGTAGTGAAACTGAGCCAATCACAAAGGTATCTTGGAGATATCCATGGTGTCCTATACCAGTGGATTGACAAAGATGATCGTCTCTTGCAATTTGGTTCTGATTTTCTGAACGAGACAGCGATTCTTTCCCTGATGAGGCCTGTCTGTGCTGATATCCAGTCTGATGTAGAAATAGATGTTCAGACAGTTGTTAACGTATACCGAGAGTTAGCAACCTCCTAACTAATTGGTCTGAGATGGTGCATCCCACCTGGCTGTCGCAACAGTGGTAAATGTAAATTGACTAAGAGTCTTCACAGCGAGCACCAACTGTGCTGGTTGGCGAAAGGGAAAGAAATGACTCGTTAATACTGGGCAATTATTTACCCTTCTTAAAGAAACTGGCAAAAAGGCGATGGTTAGTGAGACTCACTGAATAAGTTAGGTCCCTGATAACCTGTTAGGATAGACGAATGGAAAGTTGGACATAACAATTCAAACGGTACATCAACTGGTTTACAACTACGCTTTAGTTCCTCAACATTCAACCAGAACCTCAATGCTGATCTGCCAACTCTCCCCGAAATGGAGGAGGCTGTTTCAAACTCCAATCGATGCAAAGCAGCGAAACCTGATGGATCACCATCGGAAAACGTTTCTACAACGGAGGTATAAAACTATCGAATAGAGTAAATAGCATATGGAAGTAAAGAGTGGTCTTATCAGATAAGTCTACATCACCTATCATTCGAGTTAATAAATAAGGAGAGAGGTCCTTTCATAACACCCATAGAGAAATCGTTGTATCGGTGATCGTGGGACCCATAGTTATCCAAACCTAACTGAGGGTTGAAAAGAAAAGTCTCAAGGAAACGAGATACGTTTTAGACCTGGATGAAGGTACATCGATCAGATCTTCATCGTCATAGGTTTCAGAACACAGGCATACCGGTTGTCGACAACTGCCACACTTCCTTGAAAGTGTGTTGATGGATATGAACACACTTACTTCTGCATTTCTAAGGACTGACTTTTAGTGCGTAATTATTTGACATTGCCCTGTTATTACAAGCATACCGATAAAATATAGTCTTCTGAACTCTTTGATCATAAATTTGCATATATTTGACATACATTTCGCACACACCAAACGTAAGATAATGTCCCAGGGCTGGTTCACTCAGTGAGGTGGTAGAATGCACTGATTACTCTATTTAATCAGGAAGTTAAATCAACCCTTAGTGGGTTATTTACTGATGAAATCTCATCTCGAATAACAAAGGTCTGTTCGGCATTTGTCAACTTGTCTCAATTCTAGAATTAGCAAACTACCCAACTTTTTATCAAGGGATCAGTGTACTGTACTACAGTATCCTCTCTGCTTACCATGATATAGATAAAAAGAGGTCACATACAATGGAATCCTCGTGTGAGCAGTGTGAACGTTAGGAGGAAGATAATAGTCAAGGCAGACCAATCAATCGATGAAGCGACTGACGTGGCTTGGATATGTGATGTGTATACAAAGACATCACCTGCCTTGATGTGTGATGTTAGCCGAATTAGTATTTGGCTGGAAGAAGGCTCAGATTGGCTAGACCAAAACAAGGCACCAGTCTGTGAAATCCCCGACGGTCGGACGTTGTGAAGGGCGATGTTGGCTGTATGGACTAGGGCCCTCTGGATGACTAGTGATCAGTGGTTGTTGACTCTTCGTGAAATAGCTGGGAGTCAGTTAAAATGACATGAGTGTATTTAGTCTTTGACGTCTTCAAAGTCTTTAACATTTTTGGAAACCTTTATCCTATGTATGCCTGCTTCTCTGACACGCTTTCGTCCACTTCCCTTTGCATGATGCTTTGAAGTGCAATTGGAACTAATGCACTTCTTTGCCAGGTTCTACATTGATTTGTCTTTCTCTGTCTATTCAGGGTATAAACAGAATTCTGACGTTTGATCAGTTGCATCGATATGCAGTGAAATTAATTTGCACCAATCGGATTTTTCAGTGTATGGGAAGTTAGGTAAATATAGTAAATTTAAAGGGTAAATTAACTACTGTTCTACTTGCGTTATCCACAAATATGTCGGGCGGTGGCAGTAGTTGGAATAGTTCTACTTTATTCAAAACCAAAGAGTGGTACTGGATTTCGAAGTCGTATAACTCTTCTTTTTGACTACAAGACAAGAAGTTGTACTCGAAAATTTTTCCAGCGAGTAATACAATGACTAGTCGTCCGACTGTATAACAATTTCAATCCAACTTATTCATAACATCGTTTGACTTGTTAGTTAGTTCTTTTGGTTTTCAATGTGAATGATATTTCATCGATTGTATACACTAAACAGTAAGCTTATTGGGCAATGTTTCATTGTATTTATACCTAATTTGTTGATTTTATGCGAATAGATGCTTTATATGTGCAATCGACACTATCACAATATTTATCATTTGGTACTAGACTATTGTCGTCGGCATTTCGTCGTTTGGTAACGAATAATATGGTGAATTTGTATAATTATCTGTACCCTACAACTGGTAACCCGACCATGTGTTACATGTACGTAATCAGTGTTTACCCCGAAGCTAGATGTAAACTGAAGAATGAGTGAATCGGAAAAATATCGAAGTTGTGCAAACTAGAATGATATATTTCCGAAGGCTGATGAGTAGCGTACTATCTCACAAACTATCTTATTGACACTAGTCTTGTGACTCAGATGAGCTGAAATAGCTTCTAACTGTTGCCATATGCAGCTGCTACTTCTATTTCACTCACACCTAACCGCTAAGTTTCATAGACCTTGTGTGTTTTCGGTGCAATCTTCCGGGTCGGGATTTTGTACATGACAGGGTACTTGTTATCAGTCAGTATATGCCGATAAGCACCAAAAAGTAAGGAATTTTAAGAAACACAGTAGGGAGACGTTTGAAGGTGGTTTTCGTGCCGTCTTACTGGTGCACCCACTGGTCATCGGTATTTTATGGAATTTCAATAACCGGTCTTAAATCTACTTTAGTTTGATAGCTATCTGCTATTCTAGCTTCAAGCAGTTGACTTACAGCTATTTGTTTAGAAGAACGACTATGATAACCTCGTTAACTTGAAACTAGTTGTGATCTGCAGAAGATGATCATCCTTATTCGACCTGTGATCGGCTAATCTTCACTGATGACCTCAACGTTTATCTTCTTGGTCTGGACTCTCCCACCTGAATAGGATAGCTGTATCTGACTTCACACTGGGGTAAAGGTTTATGCAAGCAACTGTCGAGCTACTCCAGATAGTAAATACAGGATTTCAATCACTGCTGGGAAGCTGGATTAAATATACTCATAAAGATAAATTGTGAAAATGAAGACGAAACAATGCAGTCCATGTATTAAAATAAAAACGACAGTAGGTGGAATATATGAGTGTAATGCAGCTTATTTAATCACTCATAAGTTTTCAAACTGAATTCCCGTGACTTATTTGAGCGTTAAAATTGAAGCGAGTAAGTAGTGGGAGTAAAGGTGGTTTTCATTTTTTTCGGATTGGAGTAGTTAAACGAAAACGTTGAAGTAACTGGCTGTCGATATGCTCTTTATAAAATAGCATGTACTAAAATTCCAAACATCTTTAATGTTTTTCATCTACACCCGTTGGTTATTTAGATTATAAGAGTTGTTCATTTATACTTTGATCGAAGTGAGTTCATTTTTTTCGATTCATTTAGTTGCGTATCTCCTTTAGTGTTAACATTGAATAACATTTAGCACAAATTATTTAGGTGAATGCTTGTCATCGAAAACTGCACACTACTTCTGAAGATTTACACGTTAATCGAAAGTTGTCATCTGATATGAAGTATTTAAAGCAACGTCAAGCTTTGAGTATGAGTCGGATTTGTAAACTGAGTAGTATGGTGTGTCATTTGCTTTGTAAACAACGGGAATTGAATGAACAGAATAAACGACTAACTTCATTGGTAAACACCCAAAATCATAGGTAAGTTTTACATGTTTGATATTCACTACACTGTTTCTAGTCTTTCCAGTGCTTAGTATTTGCATTAAATTATCGTAGAAAAGTAATTATATATAGCTCGTAGAGTATCGGGTCGGGAACCCAGTGGTCGCTGGTTCGAATTTTCATCTCACCTTTAATCATCACTGAGTATAAATACTAGTCTGCTAAACTACGGCAATCTCAGTTCATATTCAAAGATATAGTGGGAAGTAGGATTGGTACCAGTTCCAGGTTTTAGGCATTCAGGAAATCTGCAGTGTCTTGTGAATGGCTTATTCACACCTTTAAGTCGTGGGTGCAAATCTAGTGTGTGTAATCTTGTAGCTGTATACCTGTTGGTAGCTCTAGTTGATCTAGCTACTTGTGTTTATTCGGTCGATTGATGTGGTTGTAAACCTTAGTCGACTGAGATAGCTGGGGCATGTGTTACATATGCTGATCCACCGTCTACCTTGTAATACCATGCTGGGGGTAGTTGGATGAGGTTGAAAGAGAGTTCAGGATGGCGAGACTAAAATGTGGTACCAGTCGATGAAGTCTCTGACTCGGTCTGAGCCGTGAAGAGAGATATAGACTACCTGGCTGAGGTCCCTGATAGGATAGGAATCATTGTTTGAGGAGTCTTGGTGACATGGCTGAAAAACAGATCTCATTGGGGCAGATGTATTCAGTCTGTGATGTCTTGTAAAGCTTGAATATTCGCACTAACCCTCATCTTCAAGTTTTTTATTCTCATAAAACTTTGTCTACTTTGGTATCACTCTTTTTCGACCCGCTTGTTGTTTGCATGCGACTGTGAAGTGTGGTAACTTGAACCAATACGGTATTTAACGAGGTCCTACGTTAATTCTACCTTTCTGATTTGGTTGCTTCATGCATTGCAACCTCATTTAATAAGATCCATCTAGTACAGAGAAGTAAAATATCTTGTTCACTAATATTTAGCAGATCATTTACACTTAGTCTGATGTAAGAAGAATCTGCTGTAGTGCTTAGTGACACCTATCTAAAGCTTACATGGAACATAGACGTCGTATAGGTTTCATAAACACCACTATGATACCCAACAGACACAGCCTCAAACCTTCTAAGGAGTGCTTACGAAAACTCTATAGTCGTTTTCCATTACTGTTAGATAGGATATTTATTTGACTGTAGGCTTTCTGTGATGCTTTGCGCTGAAGAAAACACTATTGAGACACTAAATCATTTCCACTATGTGATGGGAAGCTAAACTGTTATTTTACTTTTTCAGGATTCAGCATTTAGAATCAGCATGTGGTGTCAATAGTTTAGAGGGATTAGAATCAATATCATCACCTTCAACACCAGTTGTTTGTGTTTCATCTTTGTCAAACCAGTCTTTCACCATAAGTACCGAACATAACACTGCGAAATCTGTTGGCAAAAGAAATCGATCTAATGGTGATGGTGTTCTTTGTTGTGAGGATGAACTTAACTGTTGCTTACCGTCAAAAATTCTCTGTTCACCAGATATTCAGTACGATTCACTTTAATTGATCCTTAATTATTTTTCTTTTTTCTTTCGCGTAGAAATTGAAAATCAATTTCACACTTACTCACCTCAACCACTTCACATAATACTTTCTTTTCAGGAGATTACTAATTTTCTGCAATCCTCCCACCTTGTTTCTTAGCATGTATATATTTATTGTCTTATATTTGAATATCTAATTAAATATTACATTTTTTGTGTATAGCATCTTAAATCACACTTCGAAACCCTCAGGTTTCATGAAGCGGCGAATTGATTGGTCATAGCGACGATAGGAACACCACATTAAACTGTTTATTTGATATAGCACACCGTGACAGTATAATTCACTGGATGACGTTTTGAGCAGAATTTACTGCTCATATTCACATCAAAGTGATCATACGACTTTCAAACTTCCTTTGTATAGTCCGAAGTAATTCAGACAATAGCTCTGTTTCGCTGTGATTCGTCTAGTAAGTCAACTACAAGGGAATTTCACTGTGCATACGTTTCTAAACTAGTAAGACGAACCTCTTAATTTCAAGTCTTGGACTTTTCACACATACATGATCTCGCTTTATTGACAGTATCTATTGGGCGCTCATAACCTTTCTGACTTGGTATTTTGCATCGGTTTACATTTAAATTATTAGATATAACTACTTCGTCCAACTGTTTTGCTTTTTCATGAAATCTCTTCATTTAATTAAAGTTAACTTAGATGTCATGTGGCCGCTGTAAATTTGATGGAGTTAGAGTACGCAGAGGTAGATATTAAAAAATGATTTGATTTTGAAGGCAATATAATGTATACCCCGTGATTTATGAATCCAGCTCCTATCTTTGAAACCTGGCTAAATCAGATTGGTAGAACCTATTAGTACAAGGAACTAAAAAGCTCGGTCAGCTATACTCTTGACTACACAGAGAGACAGATGAAATCAACGTAAAACGTAACACAGGTGCGTCGGTTCAAGTTATCACACTTCACAGTAGCACACAAACAACAAGTGGATAGAAAAGACTGATATCAAAGTAGAAGAAGATTTGTAAGAGGAGAAACAATTTGAAAATATTGAAGCATTGGACGAAATCAAAAGGTGAACACAACTGCGCCATCGTCACCGTTTTACAACCTTGTCACCAAATGTCTCCAACCATTGATTCCGAGGGTCTCGAGCACGCCAGCTGGACAGTTTACACTTCATTACACAGCTCAGACCAACAGTGAGAGACTTCATGTACTGGTGACAGGTCTTGGTTTGGCCACCCTGAGTCTTCTTTTAAAGTAATCCAGCTTTTCTTAGAATTACAAGTAGGGGAGGATGGTAAATCAGTATGTGCAGCACATTCTCAGTCCAGACGATGAAGGTTCATAACCTTATCCATTGGCTGGTGTCCTGCCTACTACCCTTTGCCTGACTTCAGCATTGCTCACGCGGTGATTCTACCAAACGCAAGCGATGCTACGAAGACTTCTTTGAAGAAAGCCCTGTAATCACACGGATGAACGGATTCCAGTGCATCAGTCCATGGTAGATTGTTTATTCGATATAGCATATAGTGCCAGAGTATAATTCACTGGATAACTTTTCGAGCAGAATTTGTTAATCATATTCGTATCAAAGTAATCTCGCCCGGTTAACTAGTTCACTAGTTACTAGCCGACCCTAAGCCCGGATAATCGGGGGACTTTGAGCATAGGGTTAGCAACCCCACCCCGTAAAACCAACTCAATCGCTACAGAAACTTTAAACTACAAAAAACATAAGTAAAAATAAACTTATTCCTCGCTACAGTTGGGGAGACGAAATGATGCCGGTCGTTGAAAGCCTTCAGGAAGACAGCGAAAGTAGATGGTCTCTCCAAACTGTCAACTGGAGAGTCAATAATCTACTCCGATACTGTCACCCAGATGACAACCACGAGCTCACTGTTTTAGAGTGGCTATTATGATGTCCCCAACAGCATCAAAGGCTCTCACGCAATGAGAACAAATCTCCTCCTGTAGGATCACGACAGCAAGCTTCAACTCAAAAGGAAAGGAGGTCACAATCATACAACACTACGCTATGCACCTACGAATAATGCAGATGAAGAGAAGAAGGAGAAATTCCTTGGACAACTGCAATCAGTACTGCACAGGACTCCAACCGAGATGGCAACATCAAAATTGTAATGGGTGGGGTGACATGAATGCCAAACTGGGAGTGGACAGCACAGGAAGAGAACTGATCCGTTGGTCAAGAAGCACTCGGTGAAATAAACGAGAACAGAGAACTGTTTGCAGACTTCTGTGCATTCAACGATTTGGTGATTCGAGGTAGTGTGTACAAGCACAAGGAAATCGACAAAGCGAGCGACATGGATTTGATTTCACCAGATGGGCATATTACACTACAAATCAGATCGACTTCATTTGAATGTCAAGAAAGTGGAGATGCAGCAAGCCTACTGGATACAAGATCAGATGAAGAAACGGGTGGGTGGGGGGTTGGCAGATGTGAGTTCACACCATCCACTATCTAGTGCGAGTAGTCTGCCATCGAAATCAAATTGAAAGCCTTCAAAGAAGTTGGTGATAGACGACCACAGTTCAAGTTGAACACCGAGAACACAAACTGAAGGGCGAAACTACAAAGGACATCATCACGTCATTCAGCCATCAGGACAAATTAGGAGATATTAAGGAAAATCCCTGAAGAAACCTGTGTGGAAGACCACTGGAAATCTTTGAAAGCTACGTGGAAAGAAACCTGCATAACCGTGTAAGGAAGGAAGAAGAAGTAGGGAGACAAGGAATGGATCTCGAGGGACGTCCACATGGGAGCTGATAGAGTAGGGAGAGGGAGATGGTGAAGCAGAAGATGAACCAGTGCATTGCAGTGCATGGATGAACAACGTGAAGAGGAACTGAACACAAACTATAAAACACTGGACAAGGAAGTGAAGAAGAGTGAGCGTGATGACAAAAGACACTTTACGACACACTTGTAAGTGGAGTAGAACAGGCTGCAGGTAAGAGAGTCCTGACAGAGCTATATCAAATAAGCAGGGTACTCTATCTGGGATGGAAGAGATCAACACAGATGAAACCAATGAAAGAAGGAGTGAAGGAAAGCTAGTTACCAAAGAGAGAGGAGAAACGAAGGAAACGATGGGCTGACCACTTCACTAAACTCTTGAATCGACCACCTGTAACTCACCCAGAAATACAACCAGCAGCTCAGCCACAGAACTATCAGTGAACACAAGCTCTGCGACAAAAGCCGAAGTGAAGTCCTGAATGCCATAAAGTTACTGAAATAATCCGGGGAAGCAACAGGTCGAAATGGAATTCCTTCAGAAGCACTGAAAACAGGCAGAGACAACAGCGGACATGCGCACACCACTATCGCAGAAGGTTCGAAAGGAAGGAAAGGTACTTGCCTATTGATTGGGAGAAAAGCTACATTGTCAAAATCCCAAAGAATGGAGAGCGACCTAAGTCTTGGTAAGAAGTAGCTTGGAATCATGCTGCTCTTCACCCCAAGCAAAATATTAAGCCGCATCATCCTGGAGAGAGAGAGAGAGTAAAAAAGTGCTCTGCATTCGAAATTCCGACAGTAACAGACTGGCTGGCTTCAGGGAAAACATCATAGCGGATCAAATTGCCACTCTATACAATGCATCATCGTAGAACAGAGTATTGAATGTCAGTCAACTCTTAACCTCAACTTCATCGATTTTGGAAAGGCCTTCGACAGCGATGACCGAGAAGTAGTTTGGCGCCTGCTTCAACACCGCGGTTTTAGTGCCGCAAACGTTTATCAAACTCATTCAAGAGCCATAGACTATATGGTGCTACACGCCGGAGTGATTCACAATGGGAAGCTCAGTAATGCCTTTGAAGACAGGAGTAAGACAAGGTTGCCACCAACTATCACGGATCATCTTCCTGATTGTAGTCTACTGGATCATGCAAGAAACCGTGAGATGGGTATACGCTGTTTAACGGCTGAAAAGACCCTACACGGTTTGGATTTCGCCGATGATGATTGATGTCTAATGTCGCACAAACTCGAAGATGTGCATGCGAAAACCAACAAGGTGAAAAAAGGCAGGGTAGCGAAGACGGGACTTCAAGTGAATGTAGAGAAGACAGAGGTAACGAAGATACCAAACCAGCAACAACAATAAGCACCATGAACAGGAGAAACCTAAAGGAAGTAGTCTCTTCCACCTACCTAGGTAGCATCGTTTCAAGTACAGGTGGCGGCACAAATGAGGACGTCAAAGCCATGATTGGAAAAGCAAGACAGGGCTTCATTAGCCTGAAACCAGGGGGAGATCTACTGCACTGCACTCAGCATAAAGCGTGAACGACATCCGGATTTTCAAAACCAATGTCAGTCAAGTCAGTGCTTCTATATCGTTGAGAGACTTGGCGCGTTACGAAAAGCATTCCCAACAAACTACATACGTCAGCAGCTGCCTACGTCCGATACTGAAGTACAGATGAGAAGGTCAGAAACGATAAGCAACAAGAACTCTGGCAACGAAGCAAGAACTCATCACCCAACAAATATGCAGAAGAAAGTGGAGATGGATTGGACTGGGCATACAATGAGAAGACTATTCGGGGACATCAAGCATCACGACACACCCTCGAGTGGAACCGAAAGGGGAAACGACGAGTTGATGTCCGAGGGTGACATGGACGATATCGTGTGAGGAAGAAATGAAAGCTGGGCAGTGGTGGAGCTAGGTTGAGAAGACTACAGAGAACAGAGTGAAGCTACTGTAGCGGTATGTCCCACTAGGAACTCTAGGGACAAATAATAAAGTCATTCCTGTTTTTTTGCTTTCATTTTCTGTTATGTCTTTGAGTCGATTGCTCTTGTCCTAACCTTGTTGATGACTTCCTATTGGATCCTATGATTAACGGACTGAGGAAAGTGCCCACTGCTGGTTCCAAATATTATCATTCCCCAAGTTACTACGTTCAAGTTATTTTCATAACCACTAATGTTTCGTGCTGCGGAAATGCTGCAGCGCCAGCTTCCTACTCGCTTCAAGTCGTTCATCCATTCTCTGCCAAGTCTCCTTCCCCTCTCCAAGTTCCACGCCGTCATACTCTGCTTACGCTCTACCCCTCAGTAACGTGCTAAATACCACCATCGCTCCTGCATGCTGGACACTCACCAGCTCCGCAACCGACTCGAAGTCCTTGAGAAAGACCTTGATGTCTCCATCCTCGAACTCTGCAGGCCACAGAATCTTCATCTCATCCAAAAGCAGCGACACCAATTGAAAGAAACAAGAAGACAGGTACGAAGGAAGGAATGTTTATTGTTAACAAGTGGGACAGTAGTCGTTAAGTGTGGTAACCTTGAACTGAAACCGTGATTTGCGAAATGTGCTTCTTTTCCTCTTCTGCTTCTTTCTTGATTTCCTCTTCATACGCCTGCCTTGTCTCTTGCGTTTCTCTTGGCTGGATCCTTACCCGTTGCTGGTAGTTCCCTGTGATTTCTGCCACCCTCTCAACATACACTACTTATATCCATGCTTATCCGCAATGCCCACTACAATGTTGCACCAGGTAGCTCAAAGAGAAGATGGAGTTAAGCTTTTCGCCCACATCGGGAGTGTACAAGGCTTTAAAGGGTAGGCGGTCTAACATAAGTGTCAGTGAACGAAAACGAAGAGAGGTACATGAAGGACATTCACCAACTGATCAGTTGTGGTTAGCATTCTTTCTGGCTATGGACTCGAAATCCCCACCTCCCTGTTGAGATATGCATCATATGATCCATGAAAAGCGATAAATCTGTATTCTATTGGTCGGACTTTTCAAACTTTCAGATTTCTTCGTTTGTTGAGTTGGACACACTTGCCTGTGGCTGACTACATGGTAATGACAAGACGTCTAAAATGAAATTAGTTGGAAGTGAACGTTATTTTTTCAGCCCGTCTGAATTTAGGACGTAGGTGATTACCAAGTCGGACTGGCTTGTAGTTTCCCACGCCACGTTGCCTCTGACCTACATGATTTTTCTGGTCTTTCAATACGACTTACCATCTCAGAAAAATGTAAAGAATCATCTGGCTTAAATGATAGGCTTGATCTCATGTTTCCCATTACATTGAGAGTCTGTACTTATGTTCCTGCTTTCTTTGTTGGCCTTGGAGGAGCTTAGCGTCAAAAACAAGTTGGAGTCCATGACCAAGGAATGCTTGTGCAGGTGATATAAGATTCGGTAGTGAGGGATTTGGCGTTGATTTGTGTGCCAACAAAAATGTTTGAAGTATTTCTTTGATATCGCGTAGTAATTTTAACAAAGTTCTTTTGAAAGTGTCCGCAAAACGTTCGGCGTCACCATTAGATTGGGGATAACTTCGTGGTATACCAATATGACTTGCTTCATTGGCTTTCCAGAAATCTGCAAATTGAATACCAAATATCAGAAACGGTAAATTCTGGCATACTGAACTGACTAAATAACTCCGATAGCTTGCATATGTTCACCATAGCAGTAGTTCTCTCCAGGAGGAATATCTCGGGCCATATCAGATAGACGTCATTGACTACAAAAAAGTTTTAATTCTTGTACGGTCCTGCACAGTCAATATGAATCCTCTACCATGGAATATCTAACAATGGCCATGAAAATAATTCAGATTTTATCGATATTTTCACTGAACTAGCACAATTATCACAGTCTTTTAATGGGTTTTCGATATCTCTGTCGATTAATGGCCAATACATATACGTCCCAGTGACTTCATACGTGTTATCTTCGGATAATTTACATGTGACCATTCTGTGCGAAAGTAGTGTACATCCATCTACAACAGATAGAGTCACGATGCAGAGACAACTGATGCTATCGTGGATGCTTAATCGTACATTTCTACCAACGTTTCTGGATATATTGAATTATTTGTTGGAGAAATAGTTCCCTAATCCGAGAAAGCTTATCTCTAAGTGAGTTTGCCACTATAATTCTGGCTTTTTTGAAAATCTTACATAAAGTTTCAGATGTTCCTTCCTTATAGAGAGTTTGAGCTTAATTCTACTCGTGTTGTCGCTATTATTCGTATTCAAATTACCATTATTATTTTGTCGCTTACGTGTTCGTACGAATTTCTTAATAAACGGTAGACAGTAATTATTAATTAACGCTTCTTTCATGTTACAATTCCTTGGGCATATCGTTTACTTATATTAGACACGAAACTATACAATAATTATTACTAGGTGTGTTCTGATTTAGGCATATACAAGGTGGGACAGGAAAAAGAAGACGAAATCAAAAAGAAAGATTGGAAATAAGCAACCAAAAAGCAAGATGTCAAAAACAATGAAATTAGTAAAATGGAATGATAAAATATAATATATGCAGTAGTATGCGCATATTGTGAAATAGTCACATACAAAAATCGGCGAACAAACCATCTCTTACCGCACTCAAGATTAATATAGTGCAAATGAGAAACTCTAACATTACACAGCCGGAACTAAGCTGAACAGAAACATTGATGACAAGTTACCGATCCATAGTGGTGGTGCTACAATGTGCATACATATACACATAAGCTGGTAAAAGAATAATGCGCATTATCAGTAGGAAGCAGCAAAAGTTACCCGATAATGATGTGGGAAATCTAAGTCATATACATAGACTGTTTCATAGTCTGGCACCGAAACCTGTGAAATACCATTAGCATAACAATAATTATTAGATGGATAACGATTCAAGTTGTCAGTAACTAGCGAAACTAGATGATCAGGTGAAGTGTTAGAATATAACTTGGGAATGATAAGGCGACGTACGGAACCATTTTTTAAAATTGCCACATGATCACCAGGTCGATTGTTGAGTTCCATATCAACAACACGCAGTAAATCACGACCCGTCTCTACTGGTAGTATACCGGGAGCTAAAGCCAATGTGACATGAGCACGACAACCGGTTGGACGATTCATAGGCATTATACCACAATTATCTATAACAAAAAAAGAAATAGACACACAATAAAAAGTGTTGTCGCTTGTATACCCGTCACACAAGAAGTGCCGATCGTAACTCGGTGGAGAATGCTTTGGTGATTGGAACGACTGGCCCCGAGCTCGATTCCTGGTGGGAACAAGATCGGGCATTAGGAAGGAAGTACATCCGACCGGCGAGTCCCAGACAGGAAGAAACGCGCGTCCTTGATTCCACTGCTAGCCACTATCTATCACTAATACAATAAAAAAGTTGTGATCGATAATGCAAAATGTGACAATATATTCACTATCTCAAAAACAGAAGAGTAAGTTGAAACAATGACCTCTTAGTAATTCTAGTCACTATATACATGGATACTATTTTGACTATATCCTGACATATTTATGAAAAGTTTATCGTTAGAACACTTTTTCGCTCAATCCGTCTTTTTCCAATGGTGAATAATTAGGTAGCTTAAATCACGTATATAATGGAAATGATGTAGAGTATGCAGATCGATTGTCTAAAGATAACAGTGTAATACAGTGAAATTCCTTGTCACTACTGCGACAAGTGATTTCTCATTCATGGAAGCATTACTAACTCAAGTGATCAGAAAACTTTGTGCGTTGTTTCTCTTCAGTCATTCCTTAGTCATGTATTATAATCACCCATTAATCTTCGCAATCCTCTTCACATAATGTAACCAACTATGAGTTTATCTAGCAGAATATAGAATATAAACTTGACTATTATGCTATCAAAATTTTTTTAAACAGCTTCCTAATGGATGTAATGTGGGACCGCATAAATGTTACACTAGTGCTCTAACAGCTTTACAAATACGGCAAATTATTCCACAACATTTGGCTGGTTAACTGGATTACACAAACGCAGAACCTGAAATAATAATGTGCAACACAAATCATCAACAAAAGCTATGAGAGAAATGGCTGAAAGAATAAGTTTATTTAGAGAACAGTAGAGTGAAGGCATCTCAGTTTGTGTGATACTTTCTTAACTATGACTACATCACGGTTACAGTTACTGTTTTGTTACTTCAGTCTCAAGCCTTTTTTTCTAGTGAATTCATCGACTGGAAATGGAATGGAATACACTCAGCAACCTTGTGCACATTCGTGTAGTAGGCAATTAGCCATACCTATTGTGTGTTTGAGAGACAGAGAGAGGGTCATTGATGATACTACCTGGCTGCTTAGACCTCGTTAAGTGGAGTGAGGTTTGAACGCGTAACCCATTGGTTGAAAGTCATCTCCCCGAATCAATGATTGAGTGGTTCATACCACGACTTGATTTAACCACTCTGCTCAACTTTATTCACGTTACATCCACAATATTGTTCACCTTTTTTAAGAATTTATCATATGCATGAATTCCTTCACTACAGAATCAAGAAAGGTTTTCACTAAACGGCTTAAATTATTTTTTCGTCTAATACACTGAATAATCAACAATTCCTCCAGCTCTTATAGGTTTAGAGATGTGTGTGAAAGTAAATTAGCATAAACAATCTGTAAAAGACTCATTGTCAGTACAGTTAATTTCCCCTACAGGTAAACACATCACCTTTGTCACTGATGACACTCATGCACACCTAACGAGAGTTGAATGCGTAGAGTAAACTAACTGTCCGATGTGCTTTTAGAACAAGGAAGTGGCTGGTAAGGATGTATAGAAGTTTATCACGAGTAATTATTGAGATATTCGTTAAACGTACCCAGTGGCAAATTACATTGATAATGATTTCAGTAGTTTGATAGCAATTAAACACTGGTCAAGCAAAAAATGAATCCACGCGACTTTTGACATTAGTAGAATAACTAGGTATGGATAGATAGAGGGTACAAGAATTCGGATTATACAACTAAAACTTATTTCATTAGTACACATTTGTCCGTAACCACAAGGAATGGAAGCCACAACTGAATAATTATGAATGTTATTAATGTGTCCTTCTTTGTTCTCGTTCTTTGACATTCTGATCGGGCCGCCCACGCTTTGACCCCTTGTAAACTTCCCAAATACTTTTTTAAATACATCTAAATTCGGAGTCATTATAAAGTCCAGTCTCCCAATATCAGAAATAACCAGTCGTATTCCGGTATTTCGGCTGGGAGGTTAGTCTGTTCATAAAACAAAGAAACGTAATTAACTCAGTAGTCGTTAAGGTCGCCTTTAACTTCATTCCAAAATTCGTCTTCTTTTAGAGTCTGCTGGTGTGACGTTAATGGCAGTAGGATCAAGTCGAGGCGTAGGGGGGGGGGAGGATTATGATACTTAGTTAGGAGTTGTGTTCGAGCATTTTCTTCAATCCGTTAATCTCAAGACCTAATAGGTAACGCAAGCCGTGGTTACGACCAGAACATCGTCAAGCCGCCAAGACAGAAATACAACACATTCTTTGTTTCGTGCTAGCTTGTGAACAAATTAAAACTCTTAGTTAGTTTCGATTTTTGATTTCTCAATGATTTGCTACTTAGCAGATCAATGAAAACAAGTGCCGCATTGAGTATGGTATGCCTGCCTATCTTTGCGTCCATCTTCGGACATCAGCAAGCTGAACTTGCAATGCAATCTTACTGTCCATCCACTCTTTCTGTTCGACTGGCGATTTCTCGGTATTTGCTTTGAGCATTACTGATGCTTGTCTACCTTTTTGCACCCATGACCTCCGTTTCGATTGGGTGTCTTAATCGCTTTGATTGATTTTGCGTAGGGACCGATCTACATCATTTGGCAAGCTTGTACTTCTAAGGAATTACTTAACTGGATTGGTGATGGACAGTGGTTAGCAGTGAAGTCCAGGACGCGTGTTTTGTTATATTTGGGACTCGTCAGTTGGATATACCTGCTTTCCAGTGAGCGATGCTGTTCACAGTAGGACTCGAACTCGGGGCCGATCGCTTCAAACGACTGAGCGTTACCCACCAGGCCCCTGAGTCACGATAGCCATTTCTTGAGCGACGGGTATAGTTTTTTTAGTGCGAGTAACAACATAAATGAACTGGATGTTGCTGATTTTCCTTGTAAGTGATTCGGTGATTTCTCCCCACACAAACGCCACAGCTGAAGGTAGTAATTATTATTATTATTATAGTTATAATCCTCACTCGGAGTACCGCTTAGATAATAAACCTCGAGTTCTCGGCATTCGGGGTTAGCTTCTCACTTTAGCATGGGGTCTAATAATCACCGTTTTAAATTTCACAGGCAGGTACTTTCCCGTCTATATTGAAAATCAGCGATTACTTCGTAATGCAGTTAAATACTTCATATCATTACACATCAGAAGGAAAAACGCATCAAGAACAACCTAATTGATGACTTCAGTAACAAAGGATTCGCCAAACGTCTCCTCTAAGCTTAGTTCAAAATCATTTATACTTTTAAAAGGCAAGCTGAAATTTCTACCTTTGTAGGATAGTTTTCGCCTGAAATTGTGTCAGTAATGGTTTAATTACGTAGACGAATATTCTGAGCTATGACGTACAGTTTAGTAACTGAATTATGCTAGATAATTGTCTAGTTGGCCAGTTAGTTGGATCTACTCATTAGTGCTTTAACAAGTAATAATTTGTAAAAGGTTGAGGGGATATAAATCTTTCCAGCTTTACAACATATCTGCTATTCCGTGTTACAAATTTCATGTCTTAGGGAAATTTTGATTCCCTATTAATGTAACTGTCGTTACTTTTGAAGAGGTCATTTTTGTTTCTCATTGAAACATAAAATTTGTTCATAATTGCACAAAACATTCAAATCATTACTAACCACTGAATAGTAGAATAAGGAGGATATGAAAAAAGATGGTGGCGAACAAACCTGGGAAAACAACTTCTTGGTCATCTGAAGCCCAAAGATGTCGAATGGCAACTTCATCGTTTGGTAGTTGTACTCTTGCGCCAACTGTACGTGGAGTGATAAATAAACCAGTTATTTGTACTGTGAATAATTTTCCCAAAAGATTTTCAGTGACAGATCTACGTAGCGCATAACGTTCTGCACCTGATGAACGTCCATACCTGGAATACTTGGCTGTTATATGAGGAATACTAGGTGAACTGTTGGTTTTTAAACCTGTTCCAAAATCAGGTATTGTCGCAGATTCCCAATGAGTTACTACATCTTTTACAGTTGAATCTGGTGAAGACAACAATAAGAAAATAGACACTGATGATTCCATCATTCCTACCATCTATTTATTAATGAGACCATCTGATATACTTAAGGTTTGGCAAACTGAAGTTACTGAAACTGGTGATGATTGAAAGTGTAGTGAAAGCCTGGATCACGGAAGGATTCAAGCCAGTGACCTTCCGTTTACCAGTCTAGCCCTCTACTGACTGAGTTATGATAACCAGTTGTTGATATAACTTCAGTCACCGAGAGCCTTTGTCTGGCTGCCGTGTGCATTCATGATACGTCATTGGGCATTTGTCATAATCACATTGGCTTTCCAGCCTGTTAGTTCGAATGATAAATCTGAAAAGTCTATCCAATGACGTTACACAATGCTGCAATCAGTTCAAAGTAATTAATAAGATCGAAATTTCCAAAATCTTCAAGTAACACCTAAATGTAAGTTCATGATACATAAGGGTAACGAATATTTTCAACTGAAATCAATCCGTTATATTCAGCATTGACTGATGAATAAAAAATGTACCACTGCAAACGAAAACATGGTATAATATTCAGTGTACAATTGAAGAAAACTTTAGAAAGCATTAGTTTTGACTCGTTAAAATAATTCAAGTTGCTATTCATCGTAGACTAACATCAGTTGGAGGAACAAAGGAAACCTGGGAGCACTGGACAGCTATTTCGTCCTAGCATGGGACTCCTCAACAGTGCGCACCCACGACCCCGCCAGGAGTCGAAACCGCAACCTTCAGGTTCCGCGGCCAGCACGTTACCATTGAGCCACTGGGAATAAGAAAATGATCAGATCTAGTGAGATTATTCCTTGCAAATAAGTGTTGCACACTTACACTTATCACTGCTCTTATCCTGAATATTATTTATGCGTAGAAAATGGATATAATCCATGAGGAAAAATGAAAAGTTTTTACGCTGGTTGACAGAAAAATTTAGGATATCAAATATTTTAAAATCTTGTTTGAAATCTATCAATTGGATGGGTGTGATGATAAATAATAACAACATCATTAGTAATGGTCAAAAATGGGACTTGATTAACATGTGCAGATTTGTGTAATGCAGACAGTAAGCAATGTCTATTTTATGAGCAGAACGATATTACTTAGCTGTCTGAATACCGTTGTTTGGTTGGAGGTGATCGCTCTAGGTGATATGACTAAGAACCGATGTCACTGGCATAGATGTATACTCACATCATCCTCATCTTAACCTGGTAGATATGAGGACAAATATTCAACGATGACATTGGGTGACGGTCACGTTATGTCATGAATTGACAGAAGTTGCAAATATGCAAAACTACATTTCGACCCAGTGGCTTAATGGCAACGAAAACTGATGGTCCTGGGTTTGATCTCTGGCAGGGTTATAGGTACACACTGCTGAGAAGTCACATACTAGGACCAGTGCTCCAAGGTTTTCAATGTTCCTCAAACTGATGTCATTCCATGATGAATACCAACTTAATCGTTATACTTCATCACGTCACTTTCTCATTTCTCCCTCATCTCTTTTACTACATTCTACTCTTTTCGACCGATTTCTCCTTTCATCTTCCATTTCATTGCCTTGTTAATTCATATGCTGATGTGGTAGGTGTGGCAATTTGAACCGTTATGCACTAATGTCTGGTCCTATATTGATTGTGAAGATGATGATGGAAGCAGTTGGCCTGCAATCAACAAACATCCACTGGTGTATCATGATAATTAGTCTCCTAGCCTAGTGGCCACATTGAAAAATGATCAACAGAATTCGATCGGCACTCAGGACTAGACAACATGGTTGCTTTCCAATAGTAACCGATCAATGTGTTTGAATACCGCTAAATTGAAAAGAAACGAGATTCATAACCGAACAGATGATAGTTGGTTGTTTCATCCAATAAACTATAAATATATTCATAGATTTACAACAAATAACCAATGTGATGTGAATAGATATTTTTTCGTATCATATGTACATACTTTGTTCTATCTTTACTGAAAAATACTGTGAATTATATTATACTTTAATCTGAACAAAAAACTAAATCTCATTAAAACAACATAGATTTAGAAATATGATCCATTTTTGGAGCTGACAATGTTGTGGCTTCAGGATCAGACCATATGTTAATAACTCTACTATTATATTATTATTATTATTTGTCCCTTGGGTTCCTAATGGAACATAGAACTCCAGTAGCACGTCTCCATTACAGTCTCTTCTCTGCAAACTTTTGAACCTGGTTCCACGACAGCTCAGAAGCTCTCATTTCTTCCTCGCACGATCTCTTCCATGTTACTCTCACCTCGGACGCCCAACTCGTCGCTACCCATCGGGGTCCCACTCCAGGGACTGGCCTGGCGCGTGATGTCCCCAGTCGGCCTTCTCAGTGCATGTCCAATCCATCCCCACTTCATTCCAGTGCATATTTGTTGAGCGATAGGTTCTTGGTTGGTTCGTTGCCAGAGTGAGTTCCTTGTTCCTTATTCTTATTATTCTGGCCATCTGATCTTCAGTAACGAGCCAGCGTAGGCAGTTGTTGATGGATGTCTGTAGTTTGTTGGAAATCCCTTTCGTAACGCACCAAGTCTCTCATCCATCACACAGAAGCACTGACTTCACGTTCGTGTTGAATATCCGGATCTTCTTCCACATGCTGAGTGCATTGCTGTAGATCTCCACACTGGCTTCAGGCTAATGAACGCCTGTCTTGCTTTTCCGATCCTGACTTTGACGTCCTCGTCTGTGCCGCCTGTAGTTGAAACAGTGCTGCCTAGATAAGTGAAAGAGGCTACTTCTTTTAAGTTTCTCGCGTTGATGGTGATTGGAGCTTGTTGTTGGTAGTGGTGTTGTTGGTTGGGTATCTTCATCACTTCTGTCTTCTCTATATTCACTTGAAGTCCCGTCTTCGCTGCCTCTTCTGAAAACTTGTTAATTTTCGCCTATAGATCTTCAAGTTTAAGTGACATTAGACACAAGTCATCGGCGAAATCCAAATCTACTATCTTGACTTTGAGGTTGTTACACAGGTGGAATTGTGAAACTGCACTGAATGAAGCTACAGTAACATTTGTTACAAACAACAAGCTATTGCTTGGTGCTCTACTTTATGACAGATGGTATAGTTCCATGAAAGTTATGGTTGACCAATTCAAGATATGGTAGGAAAACTCGATATACTGAACTGTTTGTTCTGGTCATGTAAAGAAGCGTTAGATACTTACTCACTTCAAGCCTTATTGAGATTAGAAACCAATGGTTAAGGAATGTGATTGATGCAACTCAAAAGGATAAATGTATTCAACCTTAATCAATTCGAAAATTCTGGACATCTTATTAATCCTGGTTTACTTGTGCTTCGTTTGTACATCGTTCAAGCTTATTTTACTGCTCTCCTACTTTTGCTGATTTCATTCTCGTGTTACTGACAAGGGTTATGTTTCTACATATGTTTTCGTCCAGAATATAAGTATCAGTAATTTATTGTTATTATTCCATGTTGTGAAAGTAATTTTTCAACCCGACCAGACCAAGGTGTTGCACCAGTATATGAAGTCCCTGACTGTTGGTTTGAGCCTTGTACAGAGGGTGCAGACCGCCTGGTTGGGGTGTCCAAGACGATAGCAATGAGTGGTTGAGAACTCTTAGTGACGTGACTGATAATCGGTCACGGTGACGCAGATGCATTCACTCTTTGACGTCTTCTAGAGCCTGAATCTTTACACTGACCCTCATCTTCAAATTGTTTATTCTCTCATACAACTTTGTTCACTTCGATATCACTCCTTTTCTATCTACCTGTTCCTTGTGTAGCATTATGAAGTGCGGCAACTTGAGACGATGCACCTGTGTGTGAGGTTTTACGTTGATTTTATCTGTCTTTCCGTCATCAGCTTGACAATACGCCTAACTATATCTCTAATAAAGCGCTGAACGTAATACTTCATAAATTCTATCAACTGATCGTTCGTTCGATGAGAGAAATCTAGTCATCGGAAAGCACCGTATCAAGATACTTTAATACACGCTTCGCATAATTTAAAAAGGGTCGGAGCAACATCTTTAGTCAGGAACTGAGTATATGAGGCTAACAGAAAATTGTTTAAATATTTTAGGTGAGTCTACAGTGGAAAGTCACATAGACACTGGTAACTGAATAGAAACTACTTTCCTCCTTACTGCCTGCACAACCCTGAGTTGTTAATATGCTTTCTAAGATGGAAGTTGGGTTAGTCAGTAGAAGGGTAATTTTTATTTATGAAATGGATAAATATAGCATGAATATCAACTGAGTTTTAAAACGTTATAAAAGAAATATGCAATCAGCAACCACACACACGTGTGTACGGTAGGCAATGAGCCACACCTGTTGTGTGAGGACTAATGACACTGCCTGGCTACCCAGACCTCAGTTGGTAGGGGGGGGGTTCGAACCCTTGACCCACAATACAGAAACCTTTAATTTATTGTATACATCTATGCTAAGAATCAGCTTCTCAATGGCATAGATCTGAAGTGTAGAGATGTTCTGATCTTTTTTTAATATGTGCTGTATCAGAAATCAACTGTTATCAGCAGTAAATTGTGTTAAACAGCACCATCTAATGTAACTCGTTTTCTAATTGTACTAAAAATAACAATATACAAAAATGGTACTTTTCATCCGCGATCAACATCAGCTAGAGAACCAATGAAAACCATAGGATACTGGACCATTTATATCTGGATTCAGAATATTCAGCAGTGTGCATCTACAGTCAGTCATGTAGCATTAAATCGAGGACTGTTTGGACACTACGTATTAACTAGAAACTCAGTAAGAAATCAACTGTTTTCTTAATTCTTTAAAGTTGGGATATAGCAAGATTAGAAGGGATGTAGGGGATCAGAAAATGAAAAGTACTCGAATAACATCTGTCTCGAAGTAAAAGGAAACCATTCAGTGAGTTGGTATGTACCTACACGTGAGATTATAGATGAATCCACTGAAAGTTCATACTTCACTAACTAGAGTACCCGGTGCTAAAGTAATCACATTTCTAAGACACAAGGTAATTTATAGGTCTTCAGCAGAATTATATCCACTAATCTATATCTCCTGTAATCGAAAAAGTCATCTATAAAGAGTTATGAGGAGATCCAAGAAGATACTTATAATCAACATAATAAAATAACTGAATATTATAATTCTTATTATCGAAAATAAGACTAACCTTCAGGTAAACCAAATACATGAGCAAATTCTTCCCGCACACCAGGAAGTTCCATAATAGTTATGAATGCATCCCAAGCCCATCCAAGTAGACGATTTACTTCTATGTATGGATTTGAATAAATTGAACTTTTTCGTTCTTTTATTTGTTTAATTCCATCTTGTATATTATTTGAACTATCCAGTTTTTGATTTATTTCACTCGGTGGTCCAGACCAAAACCAAGCATAATATAATGGATAAATATGTTCAAAATTGCGTACTTTAGATTCAACTGTCTCCAAACTAACAAAATGTACATTACGCATAGCTAGTGTTTCCGCATCAAAACGCCATGGTGTCTGTGGAATGACCATTATAACAAAATAGTTAAAACGACGAGCTAAATCTGTATAATAACGTGTTTCCCAGCCTCTTACATTTGTATTATCAATAATTATTGGACTGTAACCAGCACTTGCAGCAGTAAATGCATTATTACGACACCAATCATGAGCTTCACTGAGACGATTTATATCAAATTGATATTCAAAGCCATTAGATTCTAAATACCAAAAATCATCTGCAGAACAAACCTGTAAAAGTTTAGTGAAACAAAAGATGAACATTGTTAGTGTAATTATGAATAAGAACTTAGTAAAAACAAACATGAAAATGAGCATAATCTATAGAAAAAGATAGGGAAATAAATTCTTAGGAATCCTGGTATAGTTACAACAAGTATAATGTGCAACAGTGAGGCATTTTCATCTCAACTTCTTCAACTATGAGTTGTAATATTGTTATGTTTCTTGGTGGATATAAAACGCACGCTTGACTGACAGCTAATTTCGTACTCCAGATCCACTGACTCCAACCCCGGACGAAATAGAGGAGAAGACTGAACTGGATCAAAGAGTTTACTACCACCGAGAAAAATTATTAATTAACCTCAAAACACCCGTGTATATATATACATGAAATTTGATCTTGTTCAGAATTTGAAACATTAACCAGTAACTGAATTGCCTTGAAAATCTTACAAGCTAAAATATTTATAACGATAATGTGACAACTGCTTTTTAGCAAGTTCAAAAATCGCCAAACAATGGCTATCTCAGATAGTCAAAATGATAATCGAGATGATTCTCTCCCTCTCCAATTCAGTTAGATTTGGATCGGGATGAGAAGTCCTGACTAGGCAACCAGTGTAAGTACGATCAAGCGGTAGTAACGCGTCACGAATTCATATGGTATTCGGGCAAAACCCTTGGTGACTGAAGTGAAATAAAAATCTAGCTAGCAGTTGGACCTCATAACTCAGTTGGTAGAGCATTGGGCCTGAAACCCGGTGGTCGCTGGTTTCGATACAGCCGCAGTTCAAATTTTCATTCCACCTTCAATCATCACCCAATATCAATTACTTAAATCAGAATTCACCGTCAGTGATCTGATCACTTTGAACAATACCTATGCTCCTTACAGTTCGATCGCACCGAAAATTCTGTCTGAATGTTTGGATACAGAACTATGAGTAGTCTATATTGTTATCCACACGTCTATTTCGTCAAGAAGTAGCTAGGAGACCTGATGAAAAAAGTCAAGTGTCACTCTTACTTCAAGAAAGATGGACACCGCTTGTGCTTTAGGATTGCACAGAATGGGAAAGTCTCCCCAAAACATCCAAGGCAGGCTTGAAATTTATTCTAACCCTGTCTGTTTTCGAGCTTACACTATGCATGTCATGGCAATACATTGCAGGATGTTGGAAACTCTATTGACCAACATCATTTTACAGTAGTTATAGCAGGAGAACTCTCATTCTTTGTAGACTGGAACAACTACCGTAGAGACCACTCCGAAACAGCAATACTTGAATTTAAAACCCTAATCAGTACTTCTTCTATCTAACTAATAATCTTAAACTTCCATATTTAAATACTTTTGGTCGGAACCTGCTCCTTCTTATTTCACGATGCTTGTAAACTCTAAGTAGACAAGAGTTGGAGTCTCAACATTGACATAACATCCAGATTCTAACCAACTGTTTCTAACAGTATTCTGCACATGATTACGGTTACATTACTTGGAATCAGTTCAAAAATCTTTCATCTCAAGCGATAGGTCTAGCTGAGAAACAAATTTTTTCAGACTTGATTCCTTAATAGCTAGTAACGGGCGTCCGCTACTAAATATAGCCATAACTTTTATCGTTTTTTTTGCATTTTCCACCTAATATTGCCTACATATGCTGTGTAGACTCTTTTCGGCATACACTTGAAGCTTTTACGCTTGAACTCTACTGGAGCATGTTTCCACCTATTCAGTAATTTGAATGAAAACACTGAATATTGTTCGTTTTTCCTAAACTTCCTCTTTGCTTGTTTTTTTATTAGATAGCAAACGAAACCAGGCTATCTACATGAGTATTAGTGCTGGTTTTTCCCACTAGAAACCTATAACGTTCTTATTTAGATACACGTCGGGGATTCCTTTCTCTGAGAACTATAGAAGTTCTCAAATATAGTTAAAAGTAGATAGGCATGTTCACAATCCTTTACCGACCAGCTATAATGACAACATGATAGTCTATTTTTACACATCTTTGAGTTAAAACAAGGGACTTCCAGATGAAGTATTTTTCGATGAATAAAGTTGGTATTATAGTAAGGTCGTAGTACGTTCACGTCACTATCGACTCAGGGTTCTCATTAACAATAAATAGATGCCTGTTATCATTTACGAAAGTCATCCTGCTCTTCACGAGTTCCTCTTTGGAGTTTTTCATATTGCAGTCAGTCGACAGATTACTGATTTTCATACAAGTTGTCCGACCTTTCCGAAGTAGACAAAAATATAGAATCAAAAGTAAAACCTCAGATACAAGTGTAGTGGCTCAACTTGCGAGACTTCACAGTAGCATACAAAGAAAAGTTGGATAGAAAGTGTGATATCAAAGTAGACAAAGTTGTGTGAGAGAATAAACAATTTGAAGATCATGGTTAATGCGAATATTCGAGCTTTAGAAGACGTTAAAGAAAGAGCGCATCTGCTCCACTGTTACCGATTTTCAGTCATGTCACCAAGAGTTTTCAACTCCTGGTTCGACTCATCTTGAGGAGTCGAACCAAGCAGTCTACATCTCTGAACACCACTTAGATCAACAGTCAAGGAGTTCATGCATCTTTTTGAAGTCAGGAAGAATAAACGCTACACTAAAGAAGTAAAACATTCATGGGTTTCTGCATCTTTTTACGCCGCTCAGTGTGTTTTTCTGATACCGATTCTTTACCTTTGAAGGGTCATAACTTTCCTTTATATGCATGACTCCAGAAAATTCGACTGAGCTTTCAAATACTATCAGGAACAGAAATAAACTTTCAGGTGAACTTCATATTCGTAAAAGGTTTGAAAAATCTAAGTGCGAAACGATGAGAAATAAAGTGGAAATAATCTAGGAAAATATAACAAGATACATAGCTTCCTAGATAAAAGATGAAAGATTTGAATAGTTGTCATGCCCTTTTAGGTGGGTAGCTCGTAATTTGAAGCAATGCCGACGAGTTTTATGTAAAAAATTCATTACTTAGCTTTCAGTCACCGACATTGTCAAAACGCTTTACAATCCACAATTATGTTCAAGTAGTGCTGTCACTTAAAATGAAGCAAGATAACACAAAACGTGAATATATGAGATTTCCCTACTTATTATAACCAGTATATCATTCAGTCAACAAAACAAAGTTAGCCATACACGACATTACTGACATCAGCATCCGTTATCAATTTCAAAATACGCGAAACATTCAAGACAAAACATGGGAGGGCTTCTTCATGAAGGAAAATACACTCACCTTAGCCATAGGAAAACGTATTCGGATACACTCTGAAACAAATGATTTTCCCGACCCCGGTGGTCCACGTAGTATAAACATGAAACGACAATTTAATATCCAATTCCCAATTTCATTATCAGTTAGAAAGGGGAAATTCACATATTCCCGGATTACTTTAGGACCTTGTAATTGGCACGACTTTTTTGTTGATAGTGAATACGACGTTATTGCCGGTCGACTATGGGCATCAATAGATTTGTGTACTGACTTCGAAAGTGACTTGTCACATATAACAACTTCCAGCTGGTCATCACTATCATTACTATCAATATTTCCTGACGACGTGGGTACAACTTCATTGGCACATAGAATTTTCACATCAGAATCATGGAGTGAAGCTCTCAATTCAGAAGTTGACAAAAATCTGTTACCAGTTGTTGGGCATAGATGATTACACAAATTCCCCATATTATTCGTTACCAAACAACGAGATGCTGATGACAATATATTTGTACTAAACGATAAGAACTGTAACAGTGTTGATTGCACATATAAACATCTATTTGCATAAAATTCACAAATCAGGTATAAATACAATGAAAACTTGCCTAATAAGCCTACTGTGTAGTACATACAATCAATAAAATATCACTCACATTGAAAACTAAAAGGACTAACTAACAAGGCGAACTATGCTATGAATAAGTTGCGTCGAAATTGTTATTCAGTCGGACGACTAGACATAATGCAACACAGTGATACTTCATTACTCTAGATAAATTTTCCAATACAATTTCTTGCTCGGTAGCTAAAAGGAAGGGTCATGTAACTTCAAAATCCTATCCTATTCTTCAGTTTTGAAAAAGATACAACTTCTTCGACTACTCCTATTAGCAGACACACTATTTGATGTCAAACCTAGGACCGTAGTCAATTTAAGCTCAAGATTGATTATATTTGATCTGATTTTCCATACGCTAACAAATACGACTAATGTCCATCAGCTTTGTGTACTGTGCTTGACACAACATCGGTGGAGCTTCTAAAACGTCATAAATATGCCCATCTTTTGATAGGGCATGTCCATTTAATTTCGCTAAGCTAGAGATAGGTAGATTAGTCAGATATTTGAGATTCTCGACAGGCCTGTAAGAGCCGTAACCCACAACCAGTACATATACGATTCGATGATTTTGCAATGTAGGCGTTTTGTCGCTTATTAACGTGTACATCGACATACCCAGGCTGAAATCCCACGCTACCTACCGGGAAATGGAAAATAAGGGAATTTCATAGTCTAGCACACAACCTATATATTACCGTTACTATAACTAACATTACACACAATCTTGAAGTGTTGATCCTCAACAAGACTACGTTATCTACAATGAATAAAAACAATAAAATGAACCCTATACATACATACCTTATGTACTATGCTCTGAGCCACACTTACGGTGAGGCCTCATGACGTTGCCCGATTGCCGAAGTTGAAATAGTTGGAGCAGGATTTGAGCTCGTGACCTAATGTTTGAGAATCAAGTGCCAAAGCGGATAAGCCACATCTCCACAGCAATACTGCGGATTAATAAATTACCTCTTTTGAAGTTACGACTAGAGGAAAATAATTTCACTGTTTTGTAAAGACATAGGAGGTATCTGGTCCAAACGAAAGCTACTGATTACGGTGAAGTCATACCCTACTGTATAGTTGGACGCTTTCATCGAACCAAATCAGTAAAATCAATCAACAAGAAACCCAAACATAGGTTACGTGTTTGTTGGCACTCATCTCCAAGGCTACTAGAATAACTCAGAAGTAACCTGTAACCACAGAGCAAGGGGATATGGCTTCGAACTTTTGGAATACTAATACACTTTCCTAATGCATGACGAAAGGAAAAGTTTCCCATCAGTTGCTTCTACATATCCATCATCAAAAGCAACACACTATGACCTCAGACAAATTAACTTAGTGGTCACACAGCAAACTTAGGCAATGGGATTTGATCACTTTTTAGGACAAGATATGACGATTGTTACTAATCAGTGACCAGTCAACTTAAAGTACTGAGGTGTCGGGCAGTGTTGAATACCACAGTACAGCCTTGTTGACCAAGTTGTGTTGGCTCGAGATTAGAAACAAACAAATTACACTAAAAAGACATCGGGAAATGAAATGGTTGAATGGGCATACTGAATTATGTGAGTACGAATGCAAAGCCTATATGCAGGACATCACGAACTACATTTATAAACCAAAAGAAAATACTCCGTCAGTGGTATCGTTCAGTATGGTTCAGGTTAATTTATAAAATACGCATGATAGAATGTAATGACTGTCCCATCGGTCCGAAATTTAGTACAGCCTATACAGTGAATCGTAGAAATGCATATTGGTCGTAGGTGGCCAGAGTGATCATAAGCAGTTGGTACGACCTTGTACATCTACTGTGTTTTTGATCTCAAACTATGAAACCTAGACTGCATTTTAAATTCCAGTGACCGAAAGCAGATAGGTATCTGTGAAGCCCATGTTCGCAAGAAGGCTAAAGAAACGAATCCACACTGAAAGAAGGGATCCCCAATGGTCAACAAGAAGAATGCACAACATAGTGCAAAACCTATTATAACACAAGATATTTCTTGAAATCATAACGGTATGCTGAGAATAACATTTGTATTGATTACCTTTCAGTGTAACAGAACACGTTACGAAAGTAGTGATATTTCCAACACAACACTGTATATCATGAATATACTTTGGACAGTAACATATATTGCACTAAGAATGTAAAGGAGCCATAAATGGGCAATACTAGTACAGTTCCTCGAGAAAACCAACCTCACTATGAATACCACATGAAAAATGTTTGCGGGTTATTCCAGTGTTTTTCGTTCTGTGAATAAACAGTAAAATGGTTTCAATGATTACTAGCTGCACTAAAATCCTCAGTTTTGATGAACAGTACGTTGCTAGAAACCTTACTGTTATACGAAGTATGCTGTATTCCAGATAGGTGACAGTCACACAAAATACTTATTTCCTGCTTTCCTATTGAAGTTTACTGATAGACTGCACTTACCGATGTTGGAAAAATCATTCCACGCGGCTATATGCAAGAAATCCTTTGTAGTTAATACAAACTGGCTGAAAGGTTTTCCATTCCTTCACAAACAAATCTACAAGCGAAAAAAAATAAAATGATGAATATTCTCCCATTCATTATCACATGGTTAATTTAAAGCATAATGCATAAGGTATTTATCACAGTCTGAAATTATCCCCTGCTGTTTGAGGATATAAAAAATCTCAAGCCCTAATATCAACTAATATGTACTATACAACAGGAAGTCCTTAGATACGTCTGATTTCAAAGGGACTGAACTACTCTCTGGAGATCATCTGGTGGACTTGGAGAATGCAGACGACATTGTCCTGTTAAGTAAAAACGCCGTCTAAATGCTGGGTCTTTTGAACGCGTTGAGCAGAAATCTGAGTATGTGAAGTGGTGGAAAGTGTTGACCACTTCACTCACTAGGGGAGTTGCATCATCATGCTGAACGGGCTGGTTGTTGACAAAATCCCATCTCGGATACAAAAGGCCTGTTCGGCATTTGCCAAGATGCGTTATCTGTGGCGCTGACCGGAGAGATATTTGACTATCTATCAAAAGATGAGCATACTGCACTTCAGTTTGTCCTTGTCTTGTTACACTGTTGTGAGACATGGTTGTTAAAAGTAGAAGATACGAAGCGGTCACAAGTTTTTGATCGCATGTGTCTCCGCAGCATTGTTTACGTTTGGTGGAATCATTGTGTGAGCAATGTTGAGGTCAGGCGAAGGGTACTAAGAAAGTTGTGATGCCCCAGTTTTGTTATCGGTCTTAACCTTTTTAACGTGTCATTTCAAGACCATTTTTACGGTATGACTAGTAGTCTACTTTCTGCCCCCATTGTAATGCAAATCACTAATTGGTTAATCTTTACTCTTACTATGTAAATGCCTCAAGTTGATGACAAGGTCATTTTTCATGTGTGTACTTATTCACGTGTTTTGGGATTGATTATTGTTATACTCTCGGAGTAATAAACTCTCCGATCTGCCAGCTTCGGTTTTCTGTCTGTTTGCCCCAGGGTTGCAGTCAGTGGCTCTTGCGTACTAAGTTAGCTGTCAGCTAAGCGTGCGTATTATATTCGTTCGGAATAAATAAATATTGGCGTTCGAAAACAACAGAAAGACAGGCAGGTTGACTTATGAGATTATGAACCTTAGTCAACTGATATGGCTTTGGGATGTGTTGCGCATTTTCAGCCATTGCCTGCCTCTAAGTACCATGTTAAGTTGGAAGCGAGTTCAGGGTGGCTAAAACTAGAGGTGACACCAGTCGATGAAGTTTCTGACACTTGGTCTGAGTCGTGGGGAGATGGAAACTGCCTGGTTGGGGTCTCCAAGGAGAAAGGAATCAGTAGTTGGAGAGTCTTGGTGACATGGCTGAAAATCGATCACAATGGCAAAGACGTATTCACTCCTTGAGATCTGAACCTTGAATATTCGCACTAACCGTTATCTTCAGACTATTTATTCTTTCACACTACTTAATCTACTCTGATATCACATTTTCTATCCACCTGTTCTGTGTACTACTGTGAAGTATGGCAGTGCACCTGTGTGTGCGGGGATCTATGTTAATTTTGTCAGCGTCAGTCAGTTACTACTTCTCCTGATAGTTAATAATAACAACGCAACTTCATGATCAACTAGTTCGTACTCAAGTGCCTATGCTATAGTCACGTTTTTTAGAGGAGAGAAATGAAAATTAACAGTGAGAATCAGTATCCTGATGCATGTTACTGAGCATAATGACTCAGGTTTGACACTTCTGTATTATGATATGAAAGGAACTGCTTGAGGACTCACCTATAGCCTCGACCAGCTGCCCATGGTGTATTAATTGAAGCAGGGTTAGGACTTGCAACTCAAACGTAAGTAGCTCACTGGCAGGACCAGCAAAACAGCGTTTCAGAGGGCTATTGTTAGATCTGTGTTCACAGAGGAACGTGATGCAGGTGCATCCAATTGAAAATCCTCAAGATAAATGTAAAGAACCTACATTTTAGTGGTGACCACTACTGTCACTTAGCTACCATGTCTATCAACCAATTCGAAGAATCATCCATTATTTATTATCTCAAGTCAACCTCAGTAAATGTGCTTAAAACTCACTGGCTTAAAGGTGGGAGTGTCCAACTTTCAGACTAACAATGAATCTTTGAATTAGAATTGTTCAGCAGTTAAGTATGACAAACAAAATCTACGCAGAACCTCGCACAGAAGTGCGTCGGTTCAAGTTTCCAGGCTTCACACCAGTATGCAAAGAAAAAGTGGGCAAAAAAGAATGATATCAAGATAGACAAAATTCGAAAATGAAGGTTAGTAAAAATGTCCAAGATTTAAATGTCAAAAGTAAATAGCTCTACACCACTATGACCTATTTTCGGCTACTTCACTAACAGTTTCAAACCTGCGATTTTTGCTATCTCGGGGATCTCAACTCAGTAGTTCACATCTACTTCCCTTGCACGGCTCAGATCGATAATCAAACTTCACAAACTAACGACACTTCTTGGTCTGGTCACCTTGGGATTTTTCCAATACAATCCTACATCAGCTAAAATTCCACACTAAGGTGAATGGTGACGGTATGTTCAATATATGCCCCAGCTACGTCAGTCGATGGAGGTCCCCAACCTTATATCGACTGACTTATTGATTGCCTTTCGCCTAATCTCAACATTGCTTACATGGTGTTTCTGCCATATGTCAGCAACACTGCGAAGACAACTGTGGTCAAAAACCTGTTTTCTCTTCATATCTTATCACGGCTATGTCTCGCAGCCGTAAAGTAAGATAAAGTGCACTGCAGCGCAGTATTCTCGAGCCCTAATAGGTAGTTGGATATCCCGTCAGGGCCAGACACGTAATGTGGCAAGTGCAAAAAAGACCTGGATCCCAGCTGATATCTTGTCAGCAACCAACCCGTTAGGGCTAATGGTGGTTGACGAATTCTACCCCTTCACCCCCTATTATTAAACTGGGACTGGCTGCACACTAGTCGTTAGGCATCATACTATGTATCCGACAGGTGCAAAATACACTCCAAACACACTTCAATTTATGCTCAAGACATTCAAAAGACTATTTTTTTCAGCATCGACTAATAGAACAGTGTCTTCTGCGTAAGTAGGTGGCCTCAAGAGAATAGGTCAACCCCCGTGAAGTCACAGGTACATAAAGTTACGTTCACTAATACACAAGTAACGGAGCTAAACAGGAATGGTGACAGCGGGCATTCCCGACCAACACCCTTAGTTGCCTTTCACCTACATGACAAGTCGCTTTCAGCCTTTACACGGTTGCGTGAGTTCGAGAAGAGCTTTGATGAGCACTGCATACTTGATTGATACTCTCTTCAAAATAAAACACTGCCACAATAACTCTCGGTCGACAGAGTCAAATGACACCTTACAGTGAAGAAATATCGCGTATCGGTCACCGGCAAACATGCTAGTGTTCCAAAGCCCGTCGAAGGGTGAAGACCTGGTCAATGTACTCTCGTCTAGGTCTGTAACCTGCCCTCTCCTCTCCATTTTGTTTACTAGTCCTAATAAGACGTTGAACGACTACAGACTCCAGGATTTTAGACACGATGCCATTTGAACTGATTCCCTTATGGTTGTCACAAGAAGGCTTTTCTCATATCATATAAACTGGAAAGGTCAGTGATTTAGGCCAGTCTGACGGAATTACCCCGGATTTTCATGCTCTACTTAGTACCTATTACTGTTCTCCCTTCGTACGGATTCATTCGGTCTGACAATACACAGCCGTTGACTGGGATTTAGTTAAATAGTGTCCTTTCTGCTCTGCAGCTGAATGCTATATGTAAACCAGCGAGTCTTCCAGAGGTAGTCACTGAATCTTCGGAGACTGGTAACGTTAAGTCTGTAGATTTACGGCAATCGCCAGATGAGGTAAACTTAACAACCACAATCGGGTCCTTTTAATATGCGTCAAAAACAGCATAAATCTATAGTTTCAGATTCTAAAGTTTTGCCAAGAAATGACTGCTTCCCGATAGAGTAAACAGTTTGAACGTTGGTAGCCTCTCGGTGAAATCGACAACGAGTTTTTAGAAAGCTAGGAATGGAGTTTCGTCGGTCTAGATTCCTAGCAGTGGTCACAGGGTGAGAAATTGAGGGAACTGTAAACGGCTCAATACTGTAATCAATAAGTGAGGGTAAGGGAAGAAATAAAGGTAAGGAAATTAGGTTATGGTTGGTCGGTTTTTGTATACCGATAACAGCAAGTGGGCTGTTGGTAATTTCAAGCTGCCAAAACCGTGGAAGCTGTTCCCGCAAAGTACATCAAAGAGAAAATGGAGTAATTTTGTGACTACAGAGTCTATAAGATGTCTGCTTAAAGCTTGTCACACATGATCATTTTAGAGTTGTTAGATAAAGATTTCATTCAGAATATTGTTTATCTGTACATGAAGGCGAATTTCACTATAAGTATACCCTCGATTTGAGACTTCACTCTGTAAATTGTTAGTTCCAGAAATCAACTAGTACTTAAAAGAACTTTTGATGTCTTCGTGAGATCGCCACCTAGTTTGATGGAGTCACAAGAGAGAAAAGTTATTTTTCAGAACCTTTATAGTGCATTTCTTACCACAGTTCAAGGTTGCTGATTATACTCAAATGATAATCTCCCTTAGAAGCTAAGGATATGGCCACTAAGAAAATACATGAAGACAGGAGAATAACAGTCATAGAGCAGTGAGGAGTAGTATAATGCATGACAAAATCATCCTTAAATAAAATTTCAAGAACTTAACTGGTGCTATAAGTGGTCCACGTTTGAAAATGCCGAAGGACTTCTTTATTCGTATCAGTAAATCAAGTTACCAAATCGTTAGTCTTGGCGAGAATCTCCTTATATGTGAAGTCAAAAAACGATTACCGCTCTTTATCCTTAAATGGATATTACTGCATGCATATCTTGTTGTAAACTGACATCTGTTAGGTACCAATTATGTAACGTAATATTGTTCTTGAGCATTTAGCAGGCTGTATACGTTGGTGTAGCAACCAAATCACGAAATGAGTTCTAGATAAAT